CTTTCTGACCCTCACTTTTACAACTAAAGATGTTTCAACAATGAGAAATTAGTAAACAGTTTTATAACTGTAAGTTTCCATCTGGATTTTTCCATCCGTTGTTTATGCCTTCAGATTCTACACTAAGATCATGAATGTTTGCAGGGATTTATTTGCAGCTTGTGCAGGTCAGTTCTGTAATTCATGTATTTAGGAGATGACAGTGGTGTCATTAGATAACGGCGCAGATATGGGTGAAATTCAAAGTTTGGAGCTCAAGTCGCATTTTGTCTCCTCTGCCAAAGTGTCAAACTCTGCAGGGTGACATGTCGCCTACCCTCGATCCAGTAAACAAACCACTGGGTCTGTGGGCCCATGTGACTTTTGTATACAAACCTTGGTTTGATTGCTATTGGGCAGTGGAAAACCAAAATAACCAAATACACAAAAAAGTCATCTTTTCCACTCAGGCTCGGAGCAAAGAATAGCAGCTCTGAAGAATAACAGCTGCAGAGGGCAGAGCATAGTGATGCATGCGTGTCACACCGGACGCTTATGTAAATCCAGCCTCTCATTTCAGATAAAACAAAAAAAGAACCAAACAAACAACAACTGTGGGATGTTTTGGCAACAAGTTGTGTAAAAGTGGAGGCGAATGTCAGATCGACATCAGCGTGGAGTCATGATTGGATGTAAACAGTCGTAAGACTTTTTTTTTTTTTATCTCCGAGTTCAGCGCAAGTTGAAACCTGAAAAAAGCCACCATTCAGAAAGTTTACATACCCACAGCCTCCCACTCGCCACGCTCAGCGTGTAGTCAAGTGTTTTCAGCTGGATTTTATTGGGAGAACACGGTGTGGCGATTTGACCCTTCGCTTACCTCACATGTCCCGCCTCCTGCCTGTCATAAAGCCTGACTTCCCAGAGCCCGTGGAGGATTTGGTTGTGGTATTGTGGCTGACATGAAAACATGAGGGACTGCTCACAGCAGCAGTTTGAGTAGAAAATCAGTGTCAGTCCTGCCGCTCTGACCGACATGTCTTTCCCACGTTTGAAAAAAAGGGAAAGAAATGCTTCAGAAGCACAAAGGCTGCGACAGCTGAGGGCTTTTAGAGGTTTTCTGTCATATGACAAAATTATGTCATTCTATTAATGCTAAATCTTCACAATCTCTCCTCACTCTTCCTGCCTCCTATCTCTTCTCTGCTTCATTTGCTCAAGTGTCTGAAATCTTTCCACGGCTGTTTTGGTTGATTTTGGTCACCAGCTTTGAAGTTATTTATAATCTGTGGCGCCGAGCCTGGAGCTCCAAAAAAGCGTCTTACAAATGTCGCCACAGTGGAGGTCTGCGTAGTGGCGGATGATTGCTCAACTAGCATTTTTATGCCTCTATTCCAAGGAAGAAACATTTGCGGGGGGGAATATGTTTTTTCAATCAGAAAGGCGAAAGAAATGAAGCAGCCGGCTGAAAATAGAGCCGCTCTTCTATTATAGTGTTACATTCAGAAAGATAGCTGCAGGGAAAAAGCTTCACTGCCACACAGTTTAATATCTGCATCCAGGAATCGCTTCCACAGATTTCCCCCCTCCCCCACTCTGCCACACTTCCACTTCCCAACATTTAAATAATTGTGTTCATTCTTAATTATTTGAACCCCCTTTTAGTGCTTTGGTAGCTCATGTAAAAGTGGCGTTTGAGTAAAGCCAGCTGGAGTCAACACAGGGGGAAAAAAGTCCACTGCAGCACCATCTCTGAATCATCTGCTCTCTTCAAATAGTTTTTTTCTTTCCTTTCTAACCACATTTGTCTAAATGTGTGGCTCAGGCATAATCATTCTAAATCTTTAGCCAGCACTAGGATGTTCTTTTAAATATCAGACACTGCAAAGGGTTAAAGAAAAAAAGCTCCTCTCTTCTGCATGTCGTAAATCGAGTATGACATGTTCCTGGCTCGATGGTGACACTTGGTGGTGACTTGGCATCACTACGGAGAGACAAGATGCTTCTTGTCGTCGAAATTTGAAGTCGAATGTGAAAAATTAAGCGCGTTGTTAAAGGTGTAGAAGAAACGGTGATATGTTCAGGTTTAATGGGGAAAAGCATTTGAATACATTGTCCACTGTGTATGGGATAATCCTACTTATCTCAGTGGGAATCATTCCTGGCTCTCTGCTGCTCTCTGGATAAAGGATGAGAGGCAGAGTGTGCAGCACATGTGACTCTGCAGCCAGCGGCCTCTAGAGTCCAACAGCAAACACTAAAGCTGGAGGGGTTTGACCTGAGTGGGATTTAAACACTGAGACAAAAACGTCTCCCCGTGCTTTGCTGCTTTTTCCCAAAACCTTTTTTTTTATGATCTTGAACATACTTGAATTAGATATTTTCATCACCTAAAAGAGCTATAAGTGCATATCTTTGTATATTCAGTCCTACCAGAGGTCCTGTCATGTTTAGCACAACACTGGACATCAAAACCTCAATTATTGAATTTAAATAAAATTTTATCTTGACTTTATTTGCTTGTAGGCGGAGCTCTCTAAAGCTTCTGTCTCACCTTCAGATTTAGATATTTAGAATTCAGTGACGCTGATTCATTTTTATCTAGCCGAAGGACCGATGCATCTGTCCGTCCAATGAAAGAGTCGCTACTCCTCTCAGGATATTGGTCCAATTTTAGTGAAGTGAGATACATTTGACTTTGATGTCACTGTTAGTGTAAAGCTACTTCTCAAAAATCATTTGTCATTGTCACTGGATTTGAACTTTCATTAGTTTGTGCAAAACAGCCCAGAAGGCAAGAAAAGATCCCCCCCCCTCCTCGTACAGGCACATTACAATAAACTGTGAACTGTGATGGATCATGATGAAGTAACACGTCACTGACATATTGTAAAAATGAGTATTTTTAGATGCATCTGATTGATTGATTGATTGATTGGTAATTTATTTCAACATGTGAACAATATACAAGTACATTTAGAAAAGAAATAAGAGAGAGAAAAAAATACTATACAAATTACATACAAAAAACCATTCTGATTAATTTACATGTTGAAAGGGAGTGGGAAGAAGTATACACTTATTTAATCCCACCCCTTTGCCATAAATTATCAGTGAATTAGATGCATCTGTTTCTTGTTTAAATATTAAAATGAAGATCATACATAGACTTGGAGAGGCTGTTACCTTTTTGCATGCAGAGTGGTCAGAAATCACCCACAGGCAGAGCTGATAGCAGCGTCGGTGTCAATAAAATCTTATCCATGTCCATCCCCGGGGCTGTTTATTTTTCATCCCATAAAAACAATAAATTATTAAAATATTCTGAGTTCAGAAAGTTTGATCTACACTATAAGTCAAAGTTTGCAGAAGTCAGTGCAGTTCAGATGGATAAAAGCTAAGTCTATGGATAAGACAAAACAAACGATATGAAAACATAACCAAAAATATACAATAATAAGCTCTTTAAAATAAATTCAAAGGACATAACATCAAAGAAATGACAGTGAAATATCAGCTCTACAGGTAGAAAAGAAGTAGAGTGAAATAAATTGAGAACAATCAGAGCGTACTGGAAATAATAAACTAAAAACACATCAATAAATAAAATAAATGTATAAGGATAATAAAAACATAAAATAAAATAAAATAAAATAAAAGGTACCATCATCCAAAATGTCAGTAAATAAATATAAAACAATAAAAAACGCTGGTTAAAAACAGTTTAAAGTTGAAAAGTCTGTCTCCTGGTGTTTCATAGGGCAGACATGTCAGGCTGTATTCAGAGTGTAGTCATGTTTGTACATCAGCTAAAACTAATAAATTCACTGTGACCATCGAGAACAAATGTAAGTGTGTAAATGAATCTAAATGTAATTACATTGTTACTCCTTTAAATACAATACAATTTAACAGAGTGTTTTTCCAGTGTCCTGATTGGTGGGGATTGTTTCATGTCGTCATCTTCAGTTCGCATCTCTGTGGCGTGCGACCGTCCTCGGTCAGGGCAGATGGGGGCTCTAATCTGCAGATAAAACTAGATCCTCATGATTGGACAGCTAAACGAGTAATTAAGCTGCTGATTTTGGACTGTAGTGCAGATTATTGTTCACTGGAAAGACAATTAACAAGCGCTCGAATTCTTTCTCTCTGCTCCCTTCTTGTCTCTTTTTTAGTTTATTCACACAACAAGTGTCACAAAAAAAAATTAATTAAACTGGCAAAAGTAACACATGAACAATTAACGAATGGCACCATAAAAATGTTGCACTGGCAGGGATTTTAATAACCGATAACAAATTAAGAGGCAGTATGATTTTTAGTTATGTAATAAGATCTAATATAAATATCTGAGACACAAAAAAGGAAGTTCAGAGAAAAAGCATCTCTGAAGAACTCAAATAATCTGCTTCATCTGGATGTTTACAGTGTGATAAACGCTACCATGAAAACATCATCAGTGCTCATGTCATGTATGTGTATCTGTGTCCTGTCCACACTTTAGCGTGGCGAGAACAGCCTGCAGGCTAATGTCACAGTCCGCTGTCAGTAGCTGTTTAATGATCCTGGTGCTGTGACTCATCTTAATCTCAGTGTGCGACCCTCTGTTTTATATGTTACACACAAAAAAAGTGATTTTCATGTCAGTTTTCCGGGTGGCACGAGCAAATTTACATGTGAGAAAGAGTTCTGATGGCAAATGTTGTACTTTAATTCTCATGAGCTTTTTATTTCCAGTATGATGATTAAGACAATTTTTAAGGGATGCCAGAATATAGCTGACATTACTGAAACTTGATTTATTTTATAAGGAACCGTGTGGATTCATGTATATTATATATACCATGTTCCTGCAACTAGAAGCTCACTAACTCACTAATCTGTCCAGGTACTCCACTTCTCATCCTCTAGAAACTGTGATGGGCTTCAGCTGATAACTGGAAGATTGATTATAGATGGGTATCTTAGCTGACAAGCTAATCATTTGATCTGAGATAACCAACATTTTCTTTCGCTTCCAGGTGGTCAGGCAGTGCCTCAGGACCCGTCACCCCCCTCTACCTGCCCTCCGGCCCCCCCTGGACCTCCAGCCGGCACCAACGGCAACAGCGACATCATGGTGAACTTTGACCCTGACCCGGCGGACCTAGCGTTGTCCAGCGTGCCAGGCCAGGAGGCATTTGACCCACGGCGGCACCGCTTCACAGAGGACGAGCTGAAACCTCAGCCGATGATCAAGAAGGCCCGCAAGATGCTGGTTCCTGACGAGCAGAAGGTACTACATCTCCCACAATCCTTTTGTTTCCTTTACGTCCAAATTCACTACAGGAAAGGATTTTTAAAGCTATTTGGGGAAAGAAAATGCTCCGCTGCTTGCTGTGTTTCTAATTTAATGGCTAGTAAAATTTAAATATATCCATAATGGACCAGTTTCCCGTTTTAAATTTAGTTGTAGAGTCTACTTTTTAAAAATCTACTTGCAATTTCAAAATTGTTTTTGCAGCACAAGAACGCAATTTCAATTGTATTCAAAAATAGAGTTTGGGACAAATTATTTTATAAGATGAAATGAGTAAAATCAAATTAAATACTTAATATAAAATAAAAATTAAAAATAAGCCCCACTAGTAAATCTCAGGTGTTGTAAAGGTACCTAAAGATAAAACCTGCACAAAGATTCACATATAGCTCAGCAGAAGGTCACATTTTCCTTCAGTATCCGTCTTAAATAGAAGCCACAGCCACGTTGTTTCATTTTAAACTCTAAACTTCATCATAACAAAAGGCCACGGCTCTGACAGCTCCTGTGCGGAGTGAAAAAAAAAAACGAAGTGAGCGTGACGCCCACTGGTATTGATGCCTCCTGACGGGAATCCTGAAATATTTTGTACTCAGCTCATTGCACACTAGGAAAGTCTCTGATCAATGGCTCGTGCTTTCATAGTTCAGTGCGGAGCAGCTGCAGCTCCCGAGGCGTTTATAATTTATGGAGAGATGGAGGCGCTCACCTTGCTCTGTTCAGCCGTTGCCGGTTTTATAAATCATATATAGGAAGGTTGGAAAAATGATCTCCGGCCAGAGTTAAAGATGAAGTTGAGAACGGCTTCTCATAAACGAGCTTTAATATTCCGCTCTACGGTTAAGATTTATCTGCTCTCATGAGCAGGAAAGTCTGGCTTGGATTAAAAGTTATGAAATAATCCAGGATCTAATTAGTGTTTATATTTACACAAATCAGAAAGCAGCAATATTCCCAAGATCTCTTTAAAAATGTTGCAGAGGGATACAATAATAGCTGTGTTTAATTGTGGAATGATGCTAACTTTAACCAGATGTTAAAGATCCTTATTAAAGCTCTCCACGAAGGCAGTGAAGCATGTGGGCTTGCTTCCTGGCATAAATCTTTCAGATAGATATCTCTACAAGGTTGTACTCTCAGATTGACCTCCTATTCTGCTCTATAGGTCCCAAAGTTTAACACAACATCAGGGCCGCTTCCAGTCTTCTTCTTGCGAGACTTTCAATGGCCAACAAATTCCTTTCCTGGCAAAAAATCCCCAAAGTAACGTTGCAGGCTTTTGTGAGGCCGGAGGTCATGTCCGCGGCGTATTTATTCATTCGGCTGAGGCGCTCGGCAGGTCAGAAGAGAGCTGCATTAGGAATGACATGCCTCATAAAAAGTTATTGATAATGTTTTCACAAGCACTTACTGGTGTTTTCTGTCAAACTGATTCCTTTTGTAGTCATTGCAAGATGAATATTATTGGTCTTTTGTGTATGCAGATCAGTAGATTGCTAGAAGGCTTTGAAGTCTATGCATCTATGTGTGTCTGCTTTTTTTTTCTTTTTTATGAAAAGGTGTTTTAATATAAGAAATTAAGAGTTAGAGTAAAATAAAATAAATGGTAAATGGCCTGTATTTGTATAGCGCTTTTCTAGTCCCTAAGGACCCCAAAGCGCTTTACACAACCTGTCATCCACCCATTCACACACACATTCACATAGAGTAGCTTATTTTACACCGTGACCTGCAGGCAATAAAAAGCACAGAAAAGCTGTTGTTGGTAATTCCAACTGCAGTTTAAAGGAGTATTTCATATATATATATATAAACCACAGCTATCCTAAACTACTTTCTTCACTCTGTAAATCTGTTTAATGAATGTTCATCTTCTCTAAGCTGCCATAGCAAACATTTACTGCTGAGAAGCAGTAAATGTTAACCCCTGAAACATTTTAATTTATCTAGTGCAGCTACAAGCTTTAGGATAAGAAGTATAGCACTTTTTATGTGGTATACGTCACACCTGTGTTTGGGATGTTTTATACTTTTGAATCCAACCACAGTCTGCTGCTCATAACTGAGTGTCATCATGGTGACGTTATAAAAATGGCAGTCATAGTTTTGTTATTCTGTACCTGTGACTATTCAGCTGTTTCCACCTTTCGTTCCCTTCTCCCATTTTTGCCACCCTGTCCCTCATCAAATGACTGAACCTTCTCATCCCACTCTCTCCTCTTCTTTTGTTTTTTTTGTTTTTTTTCTTCTTCTCTCCTCCCTCCACCTTCCTCCCCACACACCCCAACATACCACACCGCCGCCGCCGACAGGATGAGAAGTACTGGAGCCGGCGAGTGAAAAACAACGAGGCGGCGAAGCGCTCGCGGGACGCCCGGCGACTGAAGGAGAACCAGATCTCAGTGCGCGCGGCCTTCCTGGAGCGAGAGAACGCCGCCCTTCGCCAGGAGGTGGCCGACATGAGGAAAGAGCTGGGCCGCTGCAGGAACATCATCAACAAGTACGAGAGCCGGCACGGAGACTTGTGAGGAGACGGACGGAGGCGGAAAGGGCGGGAGGGGCATCGGAGATGAGACAAGGGTACAAGGCAACCCAGCAACAGCAGCACTTTAGTTGAAGTGGCAAGTCGGGGGTGGGGGGAGGCTGACGTAGATCTGCAGTAAGCACCGTGCGACACCGGGCGCAAACGCCACAAGCGTCTTTTAGCGCGCGTGCTGTGCTTCAGGATGTCATGACAGGAAAGCACAGCGGCGCCACAGTTTATTTTCCGAGTTTGACTCTGTAGATGCTGCTTTGCTGAATCCACACACCGTACTGTATCACCACCTCGTGACACCTCGGCAGCTTTACCCTTGGTGCTGTGCTTACGCCCGGTGCCGCATGGCGTTTTTGCAGGTAGTGCGTTTCCATCCGCCGCTCTGGCCAGTTCAAACAGGGTGTTGAATTCACAATATGCCAGTGAAATCTCACTTTTTAAGCTCAAGGCATGGACACAAGCCAGAAGAGGTCAGATGTGTAATTTTTTGTTTTCTATAAATAGGAAAAAAAGAAAACATGTATATTTTTGAACTGGGCAGGAAAGCAAGACTAGTCCAGTAAAGAGGAGGACGGGGGGAGGAAGAAGAGCAGGGCTTTCGTCAATAACGCAAAGAGATTTTGACATAGGATTATTGTATATTTTTCTATTAGCAGAGGTATTTAGGAGGAGGATTTTGGAGATAATCTTTTGTATATTTTATATATGGGGCGGGAGGGGCTGTTAGCTGGACAGTCACGGGGCCACATAAAGCGCTTTTCCTCCCAGCTGTTTATTGCTAAACAACAAATAATCTATTTTCAAATTTACAGAGCTGGTTAGTCAGAGGAAGAGGTGTAACAGAGAATGTATCACGGTCGAATCAGGTATTTCACACAGCGTGAGACAAGGCGAGGTATTTTAGACTGTTTTCGGCGCTGAAGGGGGGAGGAGGAGGGTGGGCGGAGTCAGGAAGAAGGCGAAACAACAGAAAATTGTATAGTTTAAAGAAAATCTTTGTGTTTGTTTTCTCTGTGAGCTCGTTCAAGCACTTCAGTTTTTATCTTCTATTTGATTCCGTGTCTGATTCTGACATAAATCGAGGGGCTTTTATTTTTTTTTTGAAGCTGAAGGAGGAAATAATAATTAGCCAGCCATCCGAACAGCTGGATGTGAGCAGATGTGCGAGGATAAGTAAAAGGAGAGATTTTCGCTGGCGGGTTTGCGTTTTATTTCAGTGAATGTGTCTTGCTCACATGTAAACGCACACACACTGACACACACTTTTAACCATCGCACAACATGATTGCTTTCGGTTTCTTTACTCATCAATCATGTCTAGGTGCAAAAATTAAATACTAACTGGTTTAAGGTTGATCTGCCCAGATCGAACAGTGACTGAAACCTTCAGCCACACACACACACACACACACACACACACACACACACACACACACACAGTCCTCACCAAGGTTTTAACCCTTATTGTTGTTGTTGTTGATGTTGTTAAGGACTTTTATGGTGCTGATCTGATCTGATCCTCGACCTGACACACACACGCACACACACACACACACACACACACAAATTATAGTCACACACATATGCACTCACATCTTCTCAAACACAGTACTGAACTGCCTATACCCTTTCTTTGTCTTTATTCCTTATTCTTTATTTTTTCTCTCTTTTTGTTGCATATTGTATTGATGAATCATATATTTAGATTTTCACACACATACTTGTCTATACCTCTCCTTCAAACTTTACCCAATGAGAAAGAGAAATGCACCCTACTGCTACTGTACCATACAACTGTACTATTGACTATTAAACTATTCTCTCACTAGATATATATGTGTATATGATATATGCTTGAATTATGTGATTATAGTTGTAATATACATAATTGAATATATTTCAGAGAAAACCCATTGGAATCATTTTGTCAGTTTTTTCTCAGGTGTTGTCTGAGGTATTAAATATGCATATTAAAAAATAAGAAACACTAAAAAAATCTTTGATCCGATCACAGGATTTGTGGATTGGTTTGTTATTATTATTTTTATTTTTTTGGTTGTATTTTACGTTTGCTGTATGAATTTATTGTTATGATTCCGTTTTAGCCCGTTTTTGTTACTAAGTCACCAGCATGGGATAGAAACTCCACAGACTAACTGTAGTTGGCTAAGCCTTGCTCCCCTGTTGCTGTTGCTACGCCTGTCACACTTTGCATTCTACAGTAAAGTTTAACCGAGGGAGTTTTGCATAAAACCTTCTGGTTTCAGACAGTTATTTTGACACCACCATCTAAATACATATGAGAGGTCCATAACTGTAAGTGGTAGAAACTCCAGTCCAATCCAAAAAGAACTGCTTCAAAAGGCTGGTGACTACCACCCAAAATAGGGTTAAAAACACTATTTTTCCTCCACAGTCATAGACGGTATAAAAGAGTAACGTAGCTACTCAGATATCATCAATATATACTGTTGTGTGAAGCCTCCTGATGAGTGTTTTCGCCATCTTGGTGCTTTGTAACCAGGTGTGATGACAAGATGCCGATCGCAGTCTAAAACTGCCGGTCAGTCACAAGCCAGTAGCCAATGAGTGTGCCCCATGTAGTCATTTCAAAAACACATTGTGATTAAAATTAACAGAATTAAAAAAAACATTTTATTCTCCATAACTGAGTGGTAAACTTTAGAGAGATGTTTTCCTGTAGACTTTAATCGGACCAAAGCTATTGCCATCATTTTGTACAGAAGAAAAATCATATGACCTGCAAAATGCCCATTTTGAGCCTGGAGCAGGAAGTCAATAACCTTATTGTGATGGCTGTTATATCCGACTGAAGCTTGAGGTTTTGCTGAGCCAGATAACGCAACAAACCCTGGATGTTTTGAACTCTAGTTCCTAGTTCCTCCCTCCTGTTTAGACCAAATATGAGCACACACCCCTTGAAATTCAAGTAGCCCAGCCAGTCTGGACTATTTTAGTGTGTCTAAAAAAACCCCACAGCATCTGCTAATTTCCTCCATATTTAATTTAATCCCTCAAAGGCAATTGAAAACTCTTCAAATGTTTGTTTCACTATACTAAGAACTCAAAAATTTGACAGGCTGAATTCGCTACATGTGCTAGGCTGTGATTGGACAGTGACTGAATGGGGGAGGGGCTTAGCTGACTGTTATATAGAACTGTTTTAATTTACAGAGAGCACTGAAACCTTAGCTCTTGTTACCTGCTATACAGTCACACTTGCAAGTATTATGATTGTTCTTGATATTTCTTTTGTTGTTTTATGCAACAGCTTTTTTTCTTCAGGTGATTTTAGCCTGACATAACTATATTTTCATTCCCAAGGCCGACTTTCACATATCCCATGAGCCTGTTTGCTGCTGGCCTCATCCACAAAGACTTAATCAAGCCACAGGTGTATAATGGGAGTTGTAGGTCTAGCTTTGATATACAGTATGTACTGTATGTTTTCCTTTCCCTTGTCTTCTTTTTTGGGGGGAACATGTTTAAACCTGAGACACAAACTTTTGAATTTAGATCCCTGGAAGAAACTCAGAGCTTCTTACACTTCCATCAGTTGTTGGAAGAAGGAAGTCATCTTTTTTTCTTTTGATATCTTGGATTTGGGGATTTCTTCACAGACCTTTCTGAAACTTTTTGACAGTGCTATTTTTCTATGTAACTGTGTTGTTTTGCGTGGTACAACTTTTTCTGGCGGGTATTTGAGGCCTGCTCTTCATGTGGCAGCAGTGACAGTCTGCTGCTGTGTGATAAAACGGCATTGCGGGTAATAATGACAACAATAACGATGATGATAACAATAATGTACACAGCCTTGTTATTTCTTCTTCAACTTTGTGGATTCTCAGCTAACTTCCTCTTGTTGTGACTGACTGTTATAAACTGCAAATCCCATGAGCTCGACACTACCCCGGCTCCTCACCAGTATTGTGTGCTGTCCACAGGGATGATGGCATATGTGGTCTTTTTCCCCCTCCAAACACGAATAAAGGCTAATCCTTATTCACCAATAGCGATCTTCTGGTGTCTTGCTGTACGATCTAAAAAGCATGTACAAACCAGCTAGCAACCATGTTAGCAGTAGTTGATGGTCATGTGTGAAGTGACAGCATCTGAAGGGTCGCCACCTGCTGTACAAAACATTACTGTGGAAGAAACCCTATAGGAGTATTCAAAGGAATTATTAGTTCCTGGTAGCTGACACTTTTTTTTTTTTAAATTTACAGTGTGTTTATTGGTTTTAAATGTAAATAAATTATATGATTCTTTTTGATAGAAAATCTTCATAATCAACAATCAAATGAACCAGCTAGCCATCAATCCACCTTACACCAACTAAGTGTCAAATGTAGATGAATCCACTCCACCAACCACCACCAAAAAAAGAGCATGTATTATTCTTGATCTTCATTAGGAACTCCAACCACTGACTAAATGAGGAAGGTATGAAAGTGGCCTCCCCCAGATAGGTTGTATAGAGTAAAGACATGTACTTGTATAATAAAATCTGCTCAAGACACCTTTTACATGTGGTGGACTTCAAAATTCTTGACATAAAAAAATGAAGCTCTGTAATGTTTTACATTGTAAGAAGGTGCATTTTAAACCCAAACTAACTTTTTACCTTTGAACAAACATTCTGCCTGACAAGCTTGTTTTGATGTTCATGACTTAAAAGTAGAATCACTCTCTTTATATTTCAGGAGGGCTTACGCGGCTTGTATCTGAAGGTAGGAACAATCAACCAGTGTGATCACCTAGATGGAGCACTTGATGAAAGTTAAAGATATCGAGACACACGCTGACTCTTGTGTTTTGAACTTTTCGTGGCATTTGTTCATAATGGAAGAATATAATTGAAGAGTTCCTCTGCTTTAAAACACCCACTAAATAATATCAACCCTCCAGTCTAACTACTGTATTTTTAAAAACAAATGTGTTTTGCCTTGTAGAGTAAACTCTCATGGTGGAAAAGCTGGAAAGGGGTGAGAAACAGTATTGGCTTAGTCTCTTCATGGTATTATTTATTTTCTAAAATTTCTTTTACATGATAACAAAAGCTTTAAATCAGGGCTGTCCAACTCCAGTCCTCGAGAGCTACCATCCTGCAGCTTTTAGAAGCATCCTTGTTCCGACACACCTGAATCAAATGAATGGCTTGTTACCAGGCCGTTGCCAAACTTGATGGCTGAAGAGGTAATCCAAACATTTGATTCAGCTGTGTTGGAGTAGGGATGCATCTAGAAGCTGCAGGACAGTAGCTCTGGAGGACTGGAGTTGGAGACACCTGCTTTAAATGATTGCCTTGATTGCTGTCAACCATTTTGGTCAAATGTCAAACTGCTAAAAGTGAGGTGGTGTACAGGATAATTCAGAAATCAGGTAACTTCACTGCAGTGTCCATGCTCTTCTATAACCTGTAGTGAAACGCTTCTTTCAAGACATCTTTGACTCAGTTTTGTCTGGCTAGTTATGTAGAAGAGTCTAGAAAAGTCCGTTTTGTTAAAACCTCTGGGCAGTTATTTTGAAGCCTTCATTAAAGTGAACTTTAATTTCAGTCTTCACAAAACTGCATGCTTATGTTCACTAGCTGAATCTGATTAAAGGCTTAAAAGTATTCCACAAAGTACAGTTTTAAAGTCTTATACTGTATTGGTAAGCTTTGCACTACATATGCAGCTCTCCTGCAATCCAGGATTTAATGGTATGTCTCTTTCTAACAGTGTCTTTGACTAAGTCTCCATATTTGTGATGGAAGCATGAACGTGTATGTCTAAAAGGCTGGATTCTGTAGGGCTGCGCTGCGTTTCCAATTCCATTTTGTGTAGATTATCTAAATGTAAATGCAGGACCTCAAAATGATGCTATTATTGTGCCCTCTTCTGCCTGTTTGTGTGTGACACTGAATTACAAAATAAATGCTGTAAACAGAAAGTGCAGCAGCAGACCATTGGGAGGCACTCGGACCCTTCTGACAGCTTCTCTTTCCAAACATCACAAACAGAGATCTGTGTGTGTTTGTTTTTTATGTGCATTCATAGTACCTGTGTGTTTTCATCCAAGCTATTGTGTGTTTCCATGACTACTTCTGTGAATTGTGGGTGTCCTAGAGATTCATCTGTAAAGCCAGTCAACTTCAGTTACATAACAGACACACACGCTCACTCAGACGAGCAGTTTGAGTGCCCTGTGTACACGCGTGTATGCATGTGTGGGATTGGATCGCTGCACCACCTGTATGTTGTGGGTTGTTTCAGCTGTTCGCCTGCGTTTGCGTCACCAGCTCTCCTCCATCACGCCGCAGACCATCTGCCAAGGCTGGTGTCGATACTCCAAGCCAAAGCGTGCTACGTCGCCCCACTGTGCCAAGCTGCACCAGGCCACGAAACCCTGCTGCTGCTTCACAATCAGCTCAGGGAGTTCCAGCAAATAGACGTTTGGAATAATTTCATAAAAAGCAGATGCCTTTTTTGTTTTGTTGTTGGTGAGGATCATGAGGTAAATCCATGGTGATTTTGTGATGTTTTTCTCTGTTAGGGTCTTGCTTGAAGTTTGTATGCGTGGAAACGTGTTTTATGAGGTGAGTGATGTGGGATGATGGGACACCTTTATTTACCTTTAAAATTAACATTTAGCAACAACATTGTACCTTTAAGGACTCACTATTTACAATTCCCTTTCATAAGAGCCAGTGGAGAAATGATTGGGCATTGCGTATTAACTATATTGATAAGAACAATGACAGCTGATTGATCAGAAATCCATAATATAATTGAACTAAAAGTAGTCCAATACAAATAAACTCCAGGTTTTATAAACCACATTTTATTTTCAGTCGTGACCTGTCAAGTTTTTGTGAAACTTTTAGAAGAAGAAACAGAGCGAGAAGCCAATTATTGATATTTATTGCCACATAAAAACATTAATCTGGATTTGCGGTTGAAATGTAGCAGCATATAGGTGAAATCACAAAGAAAGAAGCGATCCACACTTGTGTGAGGCATCTTTTTGTGTAATCACTCTGAACAAAACAAAGCAAAGAAACAGACTGAGCCTGAAAAACAGTTTGATCACTGCATCTGCCTCCCTGTAGCCAGGAATGACAAATATCCTCTACTCTAAATTAAAAAGGAACATATCAGAAAGATTTGATTCAGTGGAGTTTAATGCTGTCATGTCAGTATCCTGGTATAATGACAACAAATTGGTTGGCCATGAATTTAGCGATTAATTTTAAATGAGTCACTGAGAGTGCAGTGCTGTTTTTATGACCTACGCATTAAATTTCCTACTGCTCAGGAGACTTTTATGTACTAATAAAGAAAATACAGGTGGAGGGGCAGGGTTATGAGTAACAAGGGGATGATTGATTGTGTGTCTCAGAGAAAAGAATAAATCCACCGAAACAAACGCACAGGGGGAAAGAATGAGAGAAATATCTAAAATTTAGAGTCCGTGCAGGAAGTACAGGAACATGTGTAGAATTGATGTGACTGTTTCGTGTGTCCACCTGTGTGTTTGTGAGTGGTGTCGTCTTCAGACCCAGAAGAGCAGTGGGTGAGAGGTGAGTTCGATGCTCCAACTCAAGTCTCAGAGGAAACCAGATGTTGTCTGACCAAAAAATGTAACCTTTGAAACCTTACTTTGAGGGAAACAAAATGGCACAGAAAAAATTCAGACACCTGAAATACACATCCCACCGTTCAGTTGATCCATCTGTTCATAGAAGCGTCATCAGAAATGGTCTCCGTGGACGGGTGGCTGTCAAGAAGCCTTTCTCAATGAAAGAACCATCAGATTTTAATTTATGGTGCAAATAGGAAAAAAAGGCTCAGTAATGGCAAATTACACAAGAACTGAACTGGATATCAGTGGTAACGGGTCTCGAATCCAAATGAGAAAATTTGTATTCAAATAGTTGTCGACACTTGTAGAGGACAGAAAACAGGCACATTTGTCATGATTTGGAGCTGCATTTCTGTCAGTGTTCTGGAGATCTTAAAAAAATGGAATTATCAAAGCAGAAAAGAACCATCAGATTTTAATTCATGGTGCAATGCCATTTGAAAAGTATCTGATTGGCAATGCCTTCATTTTTTAGCATGGCAGTGATCCCCAAACCACTACCAGTGCAGTAAAAGCATGCCTAGATGCTAAAATTACACAACTCTCCCAAGAGAGTTCAGGTTGTAAATGGTAAATGGCCTGTATTTGTATAGCGCTTTACACATTCAGTCATCCACCCATTCACACACTTTTATTGTTCAACACAATAAAAGTGTTTTCCATGTTTTCCATGCACCTATTGCACCATTTGCCAGCAAAAATGAGAGGGGTGGCTCAAAAGTTTTGCACAAATATTGTATTTCCAGTTCTATACCAGCATAGAAACATGCCTGGATGTAATGAACACTGAAGTGATGATGGAGGCAGCTACAGTGCCTTGTGGTTGCTGACTGTGCTGCTGTGGTTAGCTGTCAACTGACAGCATGAAGGTTTTGGATTTAGAGATATATGTTTATTTTGACATTTGAGAGCCTTTGTTTCTGGTCCAGCTGTTGAGGGAAATATTTGTCTTTAGCAGGTAAAGTTTATGTACCTGTTTCAGTCTCAATTCATGAGCCAGTTTTCTGACACAGGTCAGTGTTATTGGTCATGTTTTGAGGCCATATGACTTTAAGGTAAACTATTAAATTAGAATGAAATGAAGTAGTAAGTGTGACATTATTTGGCGCTCGGTTCAATCAAACATTATCCCTGTAAACAGTGAGGTGAAGCAGAAAACAAATCTGAGTTCTTTAAATTGTCTCCAGTTCTGACTCACTTGTAGAAGAAACTGAAGGACTTCTGCTGATATTAAAGGTCTTGTTTTGTTGCGACCTGGTAGAGTGACTTTACATTTTGTAGGTGGCAATAGGAACAGGAAATGAGTCAGGTTTACAGAGCACTTTTAGAGAAGGCTGAGGTAATGTGAGGCACACCCGGGGCCATCTTTTCAGTGAGACTGTAT